GTTTAGAGGATGAAACAGCCGAGATGGACCAATAGGTCTCATGTTGTCCCAAAACATGTTATGTTACACAAGTTCTGTTTTCCAGCCATAATTCAAATTTTTCTTGTTAACAGTTGTACTGTCTTAATTTCATTATTATGAATTCTGACATTGCATTATTTGCTGCTGAAAATGTTTCTACCAGTATTGGAAGTTACTCGTGTAGTCTAACTTTATCATTGGCCCTTACTGATAAACATATTCAAGCTGCTACTTCACTACTGCCTGCTTGTCTGACTGGCAGGATTTCACATTCATTGTCACTCAGTGGTGGAACATCTGCATTTTTCACATTTATGAAAACAAAACACTACTATTAACATATAATGTTTCTTTGCTGAGGCTCCCATTGATATAGTTTCTGATACTTCGTGGCTGTTATTTTCTTTTGACATGCTTTGTTATAGGGTATTCCTCTCCCCCACCCTTAACATTTCAGATGATCTTGAAAGAACTTTTTCCCTGCATCATTTATATTTGCAGAGTTTATTGTCCTAAATATGTATTCGTATGTCATTTAACCTACCTCCAAGAAATTTTTTATGCTTTGGGGTACACTCACATGCGACACCTCCGATGAGACCCTACTTCTTGATAGCAGCTATCTTCGGAGTTGTTATTTCAAAGATTTTCCCTCTCTTCTTCTTCTCCTGAGAACTTTCAATTTTGGCTCAATCAGGAGTTTAATTCTGTGGTTCCCCCCTTTTTTCTCATCTGATATAATTTCACATATTTTCATAGATAACATTTTTTTTTTCAAATTCTTGGTTTCCTTCAGTATCAAAACCCTTGCATCCATCTTGAGAACTTTGCTTAATTGAGCATACTTTCATCTTTGACTCCAAATCATGTGTACCTCTGAGCTTCTCATGTGCCATATTCTATAAACATTCATGCAGTTTTATTTCCAGGGATACTGCCTGGCCGTACTATAATCCATTCAGACATTCAGCCCTCATTTTCGAGATCCCCATTTGCAGATCCTACTTCTCTGGTGATGGATGCTTTGAGCCAGTAGGTACACTTCAACCTCATTTATTTCAAGGAGATTCAATTCCAATACCTTTGTGGAAACACATGTGCCAGCCTTAAACATCCAGTCTCCAACAGTGATGTTTGTTGTTTGCAACTTCATGGATGGCAGTTATACAGTCCTCTATTTAAGGAGCTGGATTCTCTTTGTCAAGTTACTTCAATAATTTCACATTCTCACAGGTGTTCTTTCCTAGCTCTTTGATAATTTCTTTGAGATACTCTCAGAGGGATGTGCCTCAGAAACATTGTTTCTTGCATTTCTCCAACTCCAATGATTGCTTCATTTGTATATTCTTATTTCACACTTGTTGGTTATATTCTTTTATTGTAGTTTATAGAACTGTCCTCTCTGCCACAGATGTCAACTTCTACTGTCATCCCCATTTTTTTTCCTTACCTTTTTCAAACCTTTCTTTTATCCTCCAGTTCACAGACACTGTTCTTGGTGGGACTAGGGCCTTGTTTTATGTAATATTCCTTCTCATTTTGAACCTTTAACAACTTGCTCACACTTTCATTTCCCCTGGAAATGTATTCTTCTATGTTATTTGCTTCGCTTAGTAAAAAGTCTGATATTTATACCTTGATTTACCTACCAAAGACTTGGGTTACAAGAAAGGAAAATCATTGTTTTTCATATATTGTGTTACCTTCTCTGACTAACTCAGATTCTCACTCAGAAAAATGTTTTATTTCAAGAATAGAGTATTTAAGGGGGGCTCGAAATGAGTTGCTTATACCACACAACAAATTTCATTCCACAGATCTTGTTTGTTTCATCCACAGTAATGAATTGACACATGCATCTAATATGTCTTATGTATCAAGGTTGATGTGCCCAAACACCTTCAGAGTGAATTTCAGATTTCATCTCATCAAATTCAACTTTTGGCAATATCTATCTTTCCAGTTTCTTTAACCCTTTAGTGATCATCTTACAGGCAGGCATGTGGATAAATATGTATACATTTCTTCAGTTTTCCCAGTCCTTCATGCTTGAATGGCATCGTCACACTAATACTCCAAAGTGTCCATCAAGTCTGTCATTACATCTGCTGTTTTAGACCCACTACTAATTTTTCTATTCTTACCAAAAAATAAATACTTTCAAATTCAAATTCTTTTATTATTTGTCATTGCATTGGCCATACAGTCATCTGGCGATTGTATACACAGAAAAGCTCAGGCAACTTTGTGACCCCGTTGGCTGCTATGACTCTGACTATTTTTATTGGCCTAGACTAGTAATGCTACACAAGGAGGAATATGACATTTTCGAACTATATTGTTCTATATAGACATCATATATTTGTAACTTTGAAACTAAGCCAATGTTTTAAAGTTTAAATTACAAAATTGAGTAATAATTATTAGCAAGCAATTTTAAAATAGCAAGAAGAGGTTTAGCAAATTTAATCATGACTTAATTTGCATGATACAAGGGCTGTCAGATTGATTAAAGGTTTTCATAGTTCTGAGGCGATACAACGGCTGGAGTATGTCTACAAATAATATTTGACTGTGCTGGTCCATTAAGAATCTTCTACAAAAAAGGGATGACATATTATTCCAACTACCTATTTTTGCCACCATCTGTGTTCCCACTGTTGGCTCCAGAAGTACAATAAGCCATTACCACTTTAACCAACCCCCCTTTTTTGGAATGGACTGAAAGGATGAAAGGGGATACTCTGATGAGAAGAATGCCTTAATATCTGAATATGCTTAGGTCCAATCTGCTCATTCACTCTTGATCCAGTTCTTTGAATGTTTCACGTATTTGATTCTACTCTGCTTGACTACACTTTAATTGTAGTGTAGATCATTATCTTCTTGGCCTGTAACTTAGTTGTATAACATTTTCTTGTATCAGTTTCAATCTTATTGGTTGCTATCTCCTTTTTTTAATGTGGTATTCTGGCCTACAGTATTTTAGAGGTAAGACTACCCAAGTTGAATCTTACATTATTATAAATTCAAACAGGTACTTATCTCTGAAATACTTCCCCACCAACAATGGGGCTATAATTGGTTTTCATCACATTTTCAGGTTTTGAAAATTTTGAATTATGACAAGAGAGCAGAGCTTATGTATGATCTTTGATGCATCATAATAAATCATGAGGTAGGTGGGAAAGTGATGGATGCTCTGCAATGTGTAAGAAACATTCAGAATTTTGAGTTGCATATTTGTTGACACTATGAGAGCAAGCTCAAAAAGGAAAGGCTAACATTATTTCAGAGGCAAGTATCTGTTTGAAATTATTTTGTCATTGTAAGGAAGAAAATTAACTATTCTCAAGTATTAATATAATTAAACTAATGACATCGTGCTATGCTATGTTATGAAACATTAAGTAATTTAAAATAATCACCATAAAGTAAAACTAACAATTACCCTGCATACTCATATTTCATCACTTAATTATAAAATAGAAATAATTAAACACAGAAGTTTTTAAGGCATAATCATAATATTTTTTGAAAGGCTTGTAGTATTCTGTGAAATCTTTAATCTCGTAAATAGTTTGAAAATGGCTTGAATAGGTAGCACAAGAAACTTTGTTACAAATGTACAATGTTCATCAAGCTTTTGTAGTTTATGATGACTAAAGTTTGTCAAAATGTACATTAGCAATAAAGTTTCTTTCCATATCCGTTCAAGCCGTCTCCAACTTTTATTTTCTAAAAATTGGGTTCCTCCCCATCAAATTTCAATTTCACAAAGCAAATAATGTGTTGAATTTGTCATGGAATTAAATAAAGTTGGTGTTTAACTAGCAGCAGAGGAACACTCAATTGTGAACTATAAGAATTAATTTATGATCTCTGTCCATAATGAAACCATGTGACAATGAACAAATTTTGTTGCACCTAACTAGATGCATAACTTAGAATATATATGTTTAAGGAAATGGTAAAGTTGTAATTTCAAAATTGAAAGTGTCTGGTTTTAATGAAAATGTTGAAATTCACTGTTTGATTAATGATGGTTCTATCTGAATTGTTTGTAAATATTAAACAACTCGGAAAGCTACCAGTTTATAACTATGGTTTTCAAATCCGTTATTAGTCCACTTTGTTTTAACCATATTAATTATGTATTCTTTTTCTGGTAGTACTGTACCAGATTGCTTTAAATCAAATTAAGTAATAGGGTTTTAGTTTGAAAAAATAAAAAGTTTTTTTTGCAATAACCTCAAAAGTTTAATCAATCATTATAGTATATATCAAAAAGAAATTTTAATAAGTTTGTTATTTATTATGTTTTTATAGGAAAATTGGACAATATTTATAATACCTTGAAAAAAGCGTCAAAGACCAATCATTTCAAAGTTTACAAGAAAGAAGAAATTCCAGATGGGTACCACTACAAAAATAATCGTCGTATAATGCCAATTTTGGTGGAAGCTGATGAAGGATGGTTACTTATGCATAATCGAAGTAAATTTACAGGCAAAAGTAAGATTTTTTTTATGGCTGCTTATTTTCAAATTATTTGAAAGATCTCTCATTTTTTCTTACTTCTTATACAAAGTACATGTCTTAATGATGAATTAGTAGAATATTTGGTTCTCATCATATACGTTATCCAGGTTTTGAGAATTACTTGTAATGTATACCCCTTTTATGAGTGTACGTGAATTGTGAAAATTATTAATAAAATGAAAAAATTAATCTAACTAGTAAATACATCAGTAATAGCTCTTCATAAATGGAATATTATGTTTTCTGTAATGGAATGTAAAGTGAACAGTTTATAATATTCTGCCTCCAACTGTATTAGATCACTTCTAAATTGTTACTCATATTTATGTTATGAAATCTAACCATTTACCTTGCAAGAGCTCAGTGGGGTTAAATTTAAGTCACAACAAGACTGTTTTACAAAAGATGAAACATTATCCAGCTCTACCAAGTGTAGGCAGAGCTGAGTATAGAAATTGGGTTGCATATTAAGCCATACCAATACAGTAACTATCCAATGTCAAAGAAAACTTTGTGTCATTTTGCCTCGTGATCTCCACCTCTGTGAGGTGGTTCCTGGTGGTTAATGTACCACACTCATGTGCTCCATCTTTTGTGAGGCCCTTTTTGGAGGATGATGTTGTTGTTTAGGGCAAAGGTTCTCCCTCTCATGCTCTACCTTAGAGCTTTCATTACCTGAGGAGGCTTGTTACACAGTGGGGTACCAGTCTGAGTGGGTTTGGTTTGATGTGAACTGCCACATTGGCACATCCCTTCCTACTGTCATTTGGATGTCAGATTCCAGGATGTATGGTTGTGGAGTTGTACATATGTGCCCTGTTTCATAGTTTTATTTGAAAAACATGTGTTTCAGTTCCACTCAACTTGAGGTGAAGATAGTGTGAACCTTCCTCCTACCATGAGTCAGAAGTGGTATTCCCAATGCTGCTTGGTTTTTGCACTGGAGTTGACCAACCATGCGTGGTCCAACACAACTTAGCCACTTTACCCCTTGGGGCACATCCATTTTCACTTTCCCCACATTCTTGCCTGTGGATGGTTCTTCTACAGTAATTCTTCACCAGGATTGAGATTCAGGTATATTGTGGTTTGGATTCAAACCCATCTGATTTTTCTCTCCCTTTTGGTTGTGCTCTTTCCATCTGTGTATGTGACACCTATTTCTACACTGGGCACTGAGTATACCTGGTCTCCCAAGAGTGTTCGTCTCCCAATAGGGATCACACTTCATGGGGATTCTTCAAATGCTTTCTAAGAATACTCCTTTATATCCTTCGCACTGGTCCCTCCACCTATTCAATACATTCACACTTTCAACCCTTCCTCCCCACTTAAAACTGGTGCTTCCTCTATGCCTAATCTTGAAGTGGTAGTTCGATAGAATCGATTAGAGGGAGTCACACCTGAAGAAAGGGTGTGTTGTACTCCTATTGGTGGAGGGTTGTCGCATGATTATTTACATGCGAGACACAGTGAACCACAATGATTGTGGGGTACATGGGAGTTCGGGGTTTGCGGCATGCAAAAAAAGTTTTGCATATAGAGGGCAGCACTAAATGAGAGAGAGGTAAGTACCTATCAGAAATATATTTTCAGTATAAAAAAATAATAACTTTCAGCATTTGGATTTGTTTCCCATGATAAACAAAATACACAGTAATAAAATATTCAACTACAATGCAGAGAATAAAGATATTGCTGCTGTTTAAGTTTCCTACTCTTTTCTGATTCACACCATTCAACTTCCAATTTATACTAGAGTTAGAATAAGCACTTAAGCCTGAATGAGAGAAGTATTTTATAATTAACATATTTTTAAGATATTACTTACTTCCTGATGTAAAATACACTTAACTTCCAGCTTGTACTACAGTTAGAATAAGCACTATAGCCTGAATAAGAGAAGTATTTCATAATTAACATATTTTTTTAGGATATTTCTTACTTCCTGATGAAGAATATAGTTTTCCATAGAAGCAAATTTGAAGATTATTATTAAATTTAATGCATTCAATGTACCAAATTCAGACAGTCGAAATTTTGACCACATCTCTGCCATGAAATGGGCTGCTTTGAAAACAAGAAGTGACGTAACAGCTTTGCCATTTCTGCCAAGTTTTTCAACTTGACTGCTACACCTCCTCACTTCTGATCCACTTTCCCTGTATTTCAACAGCTTTCTTTGAGAATGAATGCTACTGAAAATCTTTGCAGAGATTTTGCTCATTTTTAGCAAATTTGTGCAAGTTTTCTGCATTTTGGAGAGAAAAAAAGACAGAGGAGTGCAGTCTCTATAAAATAACTTCAAAACTTTTAAGGTAAGACATTTGAAGTCCATTACAGGAGCTTCAAAAAGAATATGTGATAACCCATTTGCCATTTATTTCCCCAACTCACTA